CAATTGACTTCTGCATTTAAAATGGCTGAAGGGATAGATTTCCTATTATGCATCTTTTACCACAGTAAAAGAAATAACTTGAGATGACAACCCTACAGAAGTCTCCTAGAAAAGAAGGGTGATTCTAACTTCAGGAGGTCATGTCAGCTTTCCCCAGACACATCCAGCCACACTAAGATAAACCCTAGAGATACCTCTTGTGAAAGAGGAAATATCCTTTACTGAATATTTTATATTTCAAATCCACTAAATATTTTGCCCCAATTAAATCTAAGAAGATGCTCTACAATGAAAAAAGATGAAATTGTCTTTGATATGCCCAAAGATATGCTAAATGAAGTGAAAGGCAGGAACTCTGGCTCTTGGCTCTTAGTTCTTTCCTGCCTCTGTTTCTCCAAAGCCAAAATGAATTATAATCAGAGAGTATCTAAAAAAAAAGAAAAGAAAAACTATAAGAGCAGACACAGAGATATTCAAGAATTGCTGATATTAGGAAAGTCACTGGACTTTGTCCTTAAAACATTATTAATCCTTCCACAGTCTTCATACAATGTTTCATTCAACAAACTGAGAGAAATGTCTGCATGGATTAGTAAGAGCTGTGAAAATATCTAGTAAGTTTTTAATCCTCAAAAAAATCTGAATATCTCTTTTTGACAATAAAAAAATTATCCCAGAACATCTCATAAATTGCTATTTCCCTTGATAAATTAGCATCCTCTCCATGGTCAAATTCACATACTTCTTACCACTTCCCAAGGCAGCATCCCTAACAAAGTCTCCCTCTGTGCCCCCCTTCCCCTCTGATATATTAAAACATAGTTTGCTCTAAGAAGTCATCAAATGCCCATTGTTCTGATAAGGGGTTTCAAAGTGGAGAATGGAGGAAAATTTTAGGTAAAGCAAGACAGTCCTAGAATTTGACAAGCAGGCCAGGATCTTAGTGACAAATTTGGCAGACTGCCTGGCTTTCCCTCAGTGTGTAAGGTGAAGTGTGTAAGGTGTTAATGTTAGAACACTGGAAGAAGTACCTCAAAGCAGCAGACTATTGCTTCTTAGTCTTACCTCATAAACAATAAGGTAATTGCATCTTACAAGTATGTGTCTGGGGGGGTTCTTTTCATGAGATCTTCAGAAAAATCTCATATTCAGGATCCTATCAACAGAGTCTTTACATTTCTTAGGAAACCACTTCAGTTCCATCTTACTCCTAACACCTTATCAGGATATCTAGCCCTCATCAATTTCTCTTTTCTCTGAGTAGCAACAACTATTGTTTGTAGGGCTCACGGTGTGTGTGATCTGTTATCATATCTTTTGTTGTTATTGTTGTTTGTTTAAAAAACATGGTCCAGTAGATAGCAAAATCCTCCAGGGCAAAGAAGTACATTCAACTCTTCTAATTATTCCCAGATTGTAGCCTAGAGCCAATCCACAGTCAAAAATGTTCAATAAACATTTGCTGTTAATGATCAGCTATTGTAGATGCATCTGCAATACAATCTGGATAAACACAATACAGGAAAAGTGCAAATGAACATCTCATAAACAGGAAAGACATGAAATCAATGCGTGTGCTGCCTAGGCATCAAGTGAAAGACAAAGTAATGCCCTCCACCCTACTCCAGAATCTAGCATGGGGACAGATTCCACTACATGAAATTATCAATACAGACAAATGTAGTCACAATGATTTCTGAGTTTGGAGAGAAAGGAATCCTAGAGACTATAATATTACAAGAGTGCAGAAAGACCACTCTTGCAGAAACAGATGCATACCATTGATGAAGACCCTCTTTGTAAGTCAGTTACCTCAAGTACAACAAAAGCATGGTGCATTTCCTTCCCTGTTCCCCCAACCCGGAGACTGACATTCTGACTTCCCTCAAGGTATGGAGAAGGCCCAGCACTTACCCCATGAGGAAAGGAAGAGGAAGGCAAACTTTGGGCATTCAACCTTTGCCAAAACAAACCCAGCCCTTTCAGATGAGTTGTGTTCTTGTCGAGTGCGTCAAGTTGAGTATGTTCATATGCTTCTAATTTATGTGCACAAGGAACAAAGGTAGACCACGATGTCTGGCACAAATGTTTGTCTTCTTCCACAAGATGTGACTCATATGAGTAGTAGAAATCTTGTGATGAATATATTCCAGTGATAACTCTCATCTCTAATTCTCATCTATCTGCTGTCTACTTAGTCCCCTTCTCTTATCCTGGATTGTGGGCACTTTGAGATAGAAATCTCTACCATTTTTATTGAAAGTACTAGGAACAAGCTAGCGTAAGTATAGGAATTGTATGACACAGTGGACTAATCTATTAGACCAATCCAAATGTCTCTGGACCTTGGTGGGCATTTGAGACAGGTTAACAGGAGAATGAGCAACACTTGTTTTCTACCCTACTTATATGTGCCATACTGTTAAATGAGAAGCCTAAATAGGATAATTAATTTGTCTGGTCATTTCATTCAAACATTGATAATGGTTTGAGTGATTTTCTATAGTATTTATTAGCTCTTCAGACCAATTAACTAATCAAGATGACATGAATTTCTTACTTCATCCATGACTAAATTTCTAAGTCATCTTCAAGGTTTTGAAGGGGATAACACACTTGCACAATAATCATCTGTATAAATATAACTGCAATGGCCTGGGTTTTCTTCACTATTATTGATCTTTGGGCTCATAAAAATTCTACCACTAAAGGAAAGGACCATATCCCATGAATTAATCAAAGGGAAGTAGAAACAATTTCTGCAATCAGCTTGGCTTTCTTCATGACCAAAAGAACAGCAATGGCACCTCATCTCTTGGAAACAACTGGCCTATGGAATTGTTTGTGACTCAAAATTCCCCTTGAGAGTAAGAATTCTTATTTTTTTTTCAGAGAAAATGTAAAATGTTCCTAAGTTTAGATCTAGTAAGCCATTCTCATAAGACACATAATTATCCTTCTAGGATCTGAAGACACAGACTTATGATACTTGACTCACAGTCATTCAGGTCCGGTTATGAGGTGGTTCAAGTCTTCTCCTTGTCTGTTGATAAAGGCAGGAAGATTTCAAGGCAGTGCACTCACATCCAGAACCACTCATTAAGAAAACTAGAAAGATATAAATAGAAATGGAGATCAACTTATTCAGTACAGGCATTCTTTAGGGTGGTGGAAGGAACCTCCAGCCCTCACAAAATGGTGAGTGGGAGCCATGGCTGGAACCAGTATACTACAGCATGGGGTAGAAAGTAGAATTTCCCACTAGGTGGTGCTAGGATACATCTGTGGTTTCCAGGGTACTGTTACCAGTTATATCAAAGAGAAACATTTGGCTTTGTAAGTAAGGTTCTTTATGACCTTCCACATGGATTGAAGTAAAGCTTGATTTTTCACTGGAAGATACACCTAGAATTCCATAAATTTATGTCCTTAATGAATGTGATTTCATATGTGAATATGAGTATATACAAATGCATACATGTAGGTGTAGGTCAAGGTCAGTGCAGATGCAGACAGAGCACATTACTATAATAAATAGAAAGAACGGTGGAGAAAGAGGATTGGCGCCTGGGGAGTATGTACTGTATGCTGGATGTCTCATTCACTTCTTTAATCCACCTTCACAATGACTGTGGAAAGCGGCAATCATTACTATCATTACTCTATGTTTATCAAAGAAGAAACTTGGTGGACTTCATACAGGCTAAAGAACTCTCCCAAGATTGTGTAGCTATGGAGTTGTAAGGCCTGGATTGAAGTACAGTTCTGCTGCTTTTTGAAACCAGAACATGGTTATGCATCGCTTAGGCTTGCTATTGTCTCTTAGAGTGTACAAATTAACTCCAGAAAAAATGGTCCACAGTATGTTTACACAAACAATATGGCATGTGCATTACATAAAAATAAAAATAACATATACTCAAAAGTCTAATCTATGGTGGGCTCAAATATACATGAGAGTTATATAAATAAAATATTCTATCTTCCTTCTTTTTTACACCAAGATAGTTATCAAATAACTCCACTGCAGAAAAATACACAAGCATGAATTCCATATAAATTCCATAAAAATAATTCATCTAAATAAATAGTAAGCTTCTTTTAAAACTTGATATATCAAATCCATATGTATAAGTAACTGAAGCCTTTTACTGTTATCCTCATACAATGGCATTAAGGTAAAGCGATTCCATTTATGTTGGCTCTTTTTATTGTAGAAAAAGCATTTCTGTTGAAATGATTGATACCCCCTCAACTATGTTCTGTTTTCATTGAGGACAGTATAATCATAGGGCAGCAGCCTTTTAATTTTTTCTTGTTCTGAAACTGTACTATTTTGTAAATGGCATTTTTGTGGGACAGGTTAAATAATGATGTATATATTGGGCATTTAGCACAATGTCTGGTAAAATGGAGAGTGATGAATAATAGCCAGCAATGGTATTTATGATTGCTATAGGAGGGAGCAAAAAAAAAAAGCAGAGGAGAAAGAGGGAATGGAGGGAAGAGGAGAGGATGAAGGAGGTGAGACAGAGGGCAAAGAGAAAATGGGTAGAATTGTGGGGAGAGCTGAAAGATGAAGGTGATAATTTGTAGCTCCATTCTTAGTGGCAGGAGTTTTTCTCTGGGGCTTCTGAAACCATATAAAAATTCAAATAAATGTCCTGAGTTGTGAAATTCATTCTGCTCTTTATCTCAGGCTTTGATGTGCAGTTTTCTTTTCTTTTTTTAACCTGAGATTGGTTAGCATTTCTGTAGGTTGAGAAAGAATGTGAGGAAAACTGAGTCCCTGTCAGACCGTGGGACGAAAAGGCAAAGGAAGGTGAACAGTGTTTCAGTTAGTTGTTCTTTGGGCTCTGGAAAGCATGTTGGTTGCATTGTTTACAATTTTCTTTTAAAAGTGAGAAAGGTAGACTCTAGTACCCTGATACCAAATAGAAGAGGGGGAAGTTCCCTCAAAAAAAATCAAATTAGAACAGATGGTTTCTTGTGTCTTCCAGAGCTCCCCTGAGCATTTCCTGGCAGCACAGGTCACAACCAAGGCATAAGAGGAAAAATGAAAATATTTTCTGTTGCTTTCAAAAGTATAATTCCACTTGGATCTCATCACCTTCCTATCTCAACTCCCTGAGCATTGGAATACAGGTGTGCACCACCTTGCCCAGCATTTTCAAGAGTTTTAAACATCTTTGAATGCACTAATATTTCTCAAAATTAGCTTTGTATCATGTATCTCCAAATGAATCAGCACCAATTCTGGGAATGCTCCCTATTAATCCTAATAGTAGAATAATAATTACAATAATTTCTTCTTGTCGGTTATTTTCTTGATTGCTACTATCTCATTCTAGAATCCTAACGTACTTTTTGTAACAGGTCTTTTCCAATCCCAGCTTCCATCCCTGATGAGTCCTCTGTATTCCTACTAGATCACCCTTCCCCGTTGATGCTCTCTAGCTGTCTTCCTCCTCTCACCTGCTTCCAAGTTTGCATTTCGGCTTCAGTCTGTACCCTTCTCCCCTTCCCCCTTCCATCCTTCTCTTCTCCAGGTTCTTAATTGACTGTTCTCCCAAGTGAGCTGTCTGGTTAATTCAACCACACTCACACTCCAGTCTCCAAACAGAACACCCACCTTCCTGTTTCTCCTGTTTCCACTGTCCACTTTTCTTCCCCTTCCCACATCTTCTGAGGTCTGTTGTAGCTGGCTGCTCATCCATCACTGTTTTCCTTACAGCCCCTGCCCCATGTCTCGTATAAGGGATGCTGGCAACTTGGGTTGCATCAGCCCCTGTCTCATAGCTCTTAGAAATAACTGTCCATAAACAATGTCTCTTAATTTCTTGACATTCAACAACACATGGAAAATTTCCTTAAACTTCCAGTATGGTGACAAGGCTTCATCATTACAGAACTCAGAAATACTTTAATCACATTGGCTGGAAAAAGTACTGCATATTTTATTACAGTAATTGAAAGTTATTTTATTGTACATGTAGACCTTCAAGCCTGAGTTTTGTTTTGTTTTGGCATTTTTATAGGAATAACTTCAGGTAGTCGTGGCATTGTCTGCTCTGAGTAGTTAAGTTTCTTCCTTGGAGGTAACTTAGGGGGCTCCACAAAGACGAAGGAAAGTGAGAAGTAAAAAAATCTAGAATCAAGAGGCTGTGAGTTTTATAGCTGCTGTGTGAATGGTCTTAAGGTAAGACACTAAGCCTTCCTGAGCAACAATTCCCTCTGCTGAAAATGGGAAGGAGAATATGTAAACCTGCATGGTTATTGTGGGAAATAATGTCACTGCTGGGGATGCCCTATAGAGTCCAAGGAGCTCTATAAATGTTTACTGTTATTAGGGGAGCTGTCCTGGCCATCTCTGACTTCACTATGCCCTAGCAGAAATCTCTTTAGCTGCCCTGAAAGTGCCTTGTCATGAAATGTGTGACTCTTATGTCTGTGTGACTCCGTGTACATCTGGTCTGCTTCCCTTCTTACTGACAGTCAATGGAGTCCCCCTTCTTTTCTTCCTCTTCCTCAAGAATCCTGTGGGAATTTTGTGGTTAATGAATAAGATAATGAATCTTGTTATGACATTTTCATACATAGATACTATTGTAACTCTCGTATTTTCCCCTAGAAAAGATTTCATTCTTAGTGTTCAAAAGCTGATTCTTAAGTTACTGGGAACAACTGTTTAAGTGCTGTGACTAAAATAACAGATTTAGCTGCTGATTTCAATCCTGGACTTTCAAGTAAACACACACACACACACACACACACACACACACACACACACACACACACACACACACACACACACACAATGTATATGTTTACCTGTCCTTTCTTTCACTTTCTCTTCCCTTTTCTCGTTCCCCATTTGTCTTACCCTCCCTAACTCTCTTCCCCCTTCCTTCCTCCTTTATCCCCTCTCTGCTAATTCTCCTAGTCTTCCTCACATCCCCTTCACCTCTCCATTTCCCCATTTCTTCTTCCAAAAGTTTGTAGTATTCTCATGAGAAAATGTTGCATCAACCTTTAGTGACGTGTTTCACGTATTTCCTGCCCAAGCCTGAAATATCTATAAAGTCTTTTCATTGTTTCCAGACATAGACTAGTAGGTAGAATTATATGTGATTTACCAATCAGGTCTTGAGATAAACTATAAAGTTAATGCATTATCTACTATGCATACTTGGACTGAAGCGCATTTCCCAGGTGTTCCACAGCCTAGAGATTGATGTTTCCTCTGTGATAGGATTATTGAACCACCAGATCAGAACACTCACAAAGTTCACATAAAGACCTTTATATCCATAGTGGCTTCAAAGGACAGCATTTTTCTGTTTTCCAAATACTCACAGTTTTTGGATTATTGATCTGATAACATATCAACAGATCCTCTGGATGTCCTCAGTTCCTTTCATGCACACACCTTCACCCAGCCCTCCCAACCAGCATTCCAAAATCTCAAATTATTTTTTTCATTTAGGATGTAATATTTCGGCTTCCTTTGAAAGATACAAATTCTTAGTAAGTAATATCCCCTGGAAAAAAGTAAATGAAATGCTTGAAATGCTATATATGTCCAATTATAAATGTGTTCATAGACTCCCCAAACTAGAAAAGGCAATAACATAATTTATAAATAATTACAGATTAAGACTAACCTGGGTAGATCAAAATTCCCTTTTAAAATCAAGTATCTATTGTGGTCTCTTCTCTCTCTCTCTCTCCCTCTCTCTCTCTTTCTCTCTCATTCTCTCTCTCTCTCTCTCTCTCTCTCTCTCTCTGTCTGTGTGTGTGTGTGTGTGTGTGTGTGTGTGTGTGTGTGTGTTGTATGTGTGTGCATATACACTAATTTTTCTGAAGGGACTTCGTTAGCACTTGTTTAATAAATGTAACTGCATTTCAAATGAATAAATGAGATCTACCCTTCTTCTACATTTCTAGGACTATAGTCTTCAGAAAAGCACGTCCTTCAGTGGCTGACACGAGCTACCCAGAGTCTGTGGACTATTCTGAGACAAGGCCCAGAATTTGACTCCACCCCTCACGTCTACTAGGACAGTGATCCTCTCCACTACAGTATAAAGGCATCTGTCACTTGTGCAGATGAAAGCACAAGGTTTTCTCCTCTGTCTCCATGGAGGTTCGGTTCCCTACTGTTCTCTCCACATCATGTTGTCATTTCCTACTCTAATGATGAACCTACATGACTCAGAGCACTTAGTAAGAGTAGGGATCCGACACATAAATCTTCCTCCTACCCTTCTGTGCCTCAGAACTGCCTGGGCACCCTCTCTTGTACTGAGAAGTGTCTGTAACAGTTTTCTTGGTGGAAATAACAGGGACTGACTCATGTTAAGTGCTTGCTCTATTTTCTGAATAAAAGCTAATAGATTCCAGAACAGGTCCAGCCAGGTGTCTTCTCTATAAGGCTGTGCCCTTTGAAGCATTCCATCTTCTACAGGATCATTACATACTTAACACGAGAAAGACTGAAAAGATTTCTAACCCCCCTGAATAGGTTCAGTATTGATGGAATTTTAGACTCAGTGCAAGCCGTGAAGCCTTGAATGGTATGTCTTTGAATTGCACCCACTCAATCTATTTTTTTTCTCATCAAGGGCTCATAAGCACCATAACAGCAATGACCTTTTCCCTACTTCTGTGTTTAACCCCCAGCGGTCTTCATTATATTGCTCTGTTCAACAAATGTGGATGTCCAGTTCTTTCGGCTCCTTCCATCCCCAGACAATTTATGGTTGACTCTAATAAAATGTTTTGCAACTTACAGCATGAAGTCGTTAAAGATCCTCTGTCAGATAATTGATAAAAAGAACAGTGCAACCTGCTCTTAGTGTTTACTGGCTCAAAGTTCATACACCTATACTCGTAAAAACCATACCTCGGTCACCTTTGACCCACTGGTGTGAGGGTGCCATCCATCAGCAGATAGATGTGATGCTAATCTCTCATCCTCTTTGCTATCTGACAGATGGTGCTGCTGGAGGGTGGTCCAAGTCAAAACTGTAGCTTGGATGCTAGGATACAGAGAGAAACCCTTTCCACTGTGTTCCCTGCCCAGCACCAACTGGATACTCTGACCTAATTTCACAGTGTAATCATGGCCATGATTGTGACTAAATGCATGTATTTCCTGCTTAGGCTTTTGAGCAAGGCTAAGAAGGCAGTTACCCAAGGCCCATGTCTCCTCAGACACTCCCACTCACTCACTTCCTCCTGGTTTCATAAGGTATTTTTTTCATGAAAGATTAGTATAGATAGAGGCATAAAGCAGAGGCTAATTTTTAGAAAGCCATTTAAGTAGGTATCTTCCCAAGAAATTGTTCTTTTTAAATCTTAAGCAGAGGTTAACATTTGGAAGCTGTTTTAATTTATAAAAATGCATTTGTTGAGCTAGACTCAGTAAAATCAAATCATAGCTTACTTGTCCAAACAAAATTTCCCTTGACATTATTCAGTTAACCTAAATTTAAGACAATAATTTATAAACTACCTTTCTTTCATTGTGAATGGAACTTAGCATAAAGCTTCTTAGCCATAATAAATTTACAGTACCTGTCTTACTCTTAGAGATATTATTGACAAGACAAAATAAGAATACATGACCACTCGGCTTACTTTTAGGCCTAAAGCTACACTTAATCTACACACAGCAGCATGCAATGCTATCCAAAGCCATCAAACCCCCAACAGTCAATGGAACCAGTCAGATGTTTCACAGTACACAGAACACTGCATACAGAAACTTAACAATCATACCATAGTGAAGATGGAACATACATCAGATATGTAAGAATGTTTTTTTCACCTAACAGACATCCAGCCAGGCTTCATAGTAGGAATAGGCTTCCCGGCAGGTGTACAGATTGAGGCCCATTTGTTTGACTAGCAGGAGTCTCAAGAAGTTGATATTTGCAGCTAGGACTGTGACTTAGTTGGGAAAGTGCTTACCACACAAGTATGAGGACCTGAGTGTGATAATCAGTCATATACATATATAAAAAGTCAGGTGCACAGGCATGCACCTGTTTCCAGCAGCAGGGAAAGTAAGCCAGGAGGATCCCAGGGCTCATGTAGCAAGCCAGTCTAGCTGAATCAGTGAGCTCCAGGTTCATTGATCAATTCCACCTCAAAAACTATAAGGTGGACAGAGACTGGGGAATCCACCTGACACAGACCTCTCGTCTGCCCATGTATATGCACATACTCCCAGGTATACTGACCCTCTACTACACAGAAAAAAAAAGTTGATATTTCCTGATTCAGAAATTCACTTGAATTCTTTGAGGATTTGCTTTAGATTTTTTTAGTTAATTTTTTTCTGGAGTAATCACAAATAGATGACAGTCTGCTTATTATTTGAATGAATACTAAATATACTATTATCACACATAATATATTTTATGTGTATAAAAACCTCTTCAGTATAACACATATTCCCAGCACTAGAGAAAGAAATATGAATTATTAACATTTGCTCTTTGAGCTGTATAAAAATAACTCTTAGATCATGGCACTAAACACTCAAGACTTTTCTGGCATCTATACTGGCTTGCTGGAAAATTCATACCATAGCATTTGACACATCCCTTCTCTCAGGTGAAATACTCTGGGAAAACTCCATAATTCATTACATTGATAGAGTAAGGCTGAATAATTAGATCATCTCCTTGTACAAGGCTACATTTTAAATGACCATTTTAACTCTATAAATTAGGGTTAGACTGAGGATTAAAGGGGTCTTGAAGACAAACTAAGAAGTCACTCTATATGAAATAACAGCTGTTTAATCCCATACTATGAAGACTCATTTTCAAAAGGCACACATAGAATTTATATTATTGGTGAATTAAGATTCTCAAATGTTTTAATAAAAAAAAGTATTGTATAGAAATGCAACATTCATACTGTGGTGCATTTTGACTTTGGTGGGTGAAACAGAAAAGATAAAGAAGTTTAGAAGCCAATAATCACCCCATGAACAAACAGAAAAGATCAATTTCTAAATGTTATCAAGAGAAGATGAAGCCAGAGAATGGACTAAGCCTTACCTCACATCTCCCAAGCTTCGCAGTGATGGCTTTGTGTAGCTGAAGTTATTACAGAGACCACCTTACATATGAACTTACAGTCTTCCTTGAGTGGTCGAGGCAGAAAACAGAACCAACCTAGAAGACAGGTGAGTGTCCCCAATGTCTGCTGTCCTGGCTGCCCGTGTCTTTCCTCTCTTTTCAGCTACTTTGCTCTACAGTGGGTTTGTCATTCTGGAAGACTTTCTTTTGAAGTACTAATCTCATCAACATCTTGTTCTCCTTCAGTGGTCAAGTGATATGTGAGGACCAGAGCATGTTCTCATTGGAGGATTTGCTTCTTATTAAATAGCCAGACAACCCATCTCAGTTCTCTGGCCTGAGCCATTGGATGACCATGCATCCCATGGCCACCTTTGTTCTACTTGGCCTCCCTTCCCACCGCATTGTTTCCTGCTTCGTTCCCCCTTCTCTTTACACATTACCAAGAGGTTAAATTTTTACAAATCATATGTTCATAAGACATTTTTTTGTCTTCAAATTGATAGAAGATAAGGAGGGCTCGTAAACTGGCCTTCCAGAGTGGAAAACTCCATTGGAGATCTTGAATGTCAGTACTTGATCATGAGTTTCAGGTGGGAAAAGAAAATGTTAAAAAGACAAAGAAACTGAGCACACACACACACACACACACACACACACACACACACACACATTAAAAATAATAAAAATAGATCTTCAGAAGGCCAAAACCTCCAATGGGAGCTGGCTTCTTTCCCTTTGAGAGGAATGGAATGAAGTTGCCAACTGAAGTTACTTTGTAACTGAAGCAGCAAACTCCGGAGCCCAGAGTACCATCTGTGGTCATCATCTTCATGCCATCTTCATTATCATTATCTCAGAAAAGGCTTTATTCCCAATGCTGACTTGCACATAGTTGCTGTAAGACTCACTGGCATTCACTGTTCTCTTTGAATTTCACGTAATTGGTCCCTAGATTTACCTGAAATCTTGGATTTTATTCTGAAAACCTCCTATCAACTATGACGTTATCCTAAAGATCAACTGTCATTAAAACTCAATATCTATTCCTCACCTTTGGAAATGCAATTGTTTTTCCAAAGGTTCAGCAAGCTGTCCGTTGGGCTTTTACTATATCTATGGCAACTGTTCTGTTGTGGAGACTTGTAAATAAGCACAAGGCTTTGGAGACAGAGCACATATGAAAGATACATTGCAACATTTTAGCTTCTTTGTTTAAACAAGCAACAGTAGCTTATTAAAATTTGCTGTGGTATTCCCCTTGGCTCTGATTAAAGAAGAGTCTATTTCTTTAAATTTAGTGCATATATAGGGAAGAAGAAAAGAAATTTAGTATATTATTAATTTAATTTGATCATGTATTTAAGAAGTTTTCAAGTGATAGTTCAATAGTCAACTCATATTTAAAAGAGTTGTGTGGTCTTAACCGGCAAAAAAGATGGCATGTTATCTTAGCTGCTTTTCCAATTTTTTTCTAGGGGGTCACACATTCATTTTGAAAGTCTCTTTTTTCAAAGAAATCCTATGACTTCATGAAGCCTTTTATCTATTCTTAGTAGTCCTGTGAAACTGACCGAAGAAAGAACACCAAATATTTTACAAGTGAGGATGAACAGGGGAAATAATGTCTCGTTATGTTGAATTTAGTTCACCATTTTCTTTTAGCCAATAATCTACTTATGAAAGAAATCTGGGCTCTTCAGACAAATTAATGATTTCAGGTCTGGGACAGGAAATTTATACCAAAAGACTCTCACACTGCCAGAAATAAAAGAAGGAAGGGAAGATTGGAGGGAGGGAGGGAGGGAGGGAGGGAGGGAGGGAGTTAGTTTAATACGTGGACACATACACACTTACCTGCACATAAGACGGGTAAGTCAAAGATATATCAAGGGAACAATTTGGTAAGCAAAATGAAGTGTGTGTGTGGGGAAATACATGGGTCCACAATGATATAAATAAATGTTTAAATAAATAGTGAACTACTTTGTAATATGTACACTAATATTAATTGGGCTGTGCCTTGGATAAGCTATTCTATTTCCTGGGATTTAGTTTTCTTGCTTGATAAATGGAGAGACCTCATGGTAGAGGAGGAATTTATATTTTATATCTCTCCAATATCAAATAAATGGACTGTAATACTTTTGTTTTAAAATAAATAATAAAAATTTAATGTTAATAAAACAAAGGAAGTCTACAGTCATGGGCAGAGACTGAAGTCTCTTGGTACCAGTGAGAGGAAACTGAATGAAATGGTTGAGCTGAGTCTTCAAATGGGTGCATATGTGTGACTGACATATGCATATGACATACGACAAATGGGTGCATATGAACGATTGACAGAGGTAGGACTGTGATCTTAGTGATCAGACCGTCCTTCCTGTCTGCTGAAGCCCAACATCGAAGATTCTTATTTGAAACTGGACCTCAGGCTATAGCAAGTAGGTACAGGCATTGAGAATGGAGCTGTCACTTCTGAGAGAGGGAAGCATCCACTAAATTGCTAAGGAAAGACTTTCTGTCAATACAGACCAACTGGAGATGTAGAGTGAGGTGATCACAAAGTACTCCTCAAAGAGAGCACCAGAGAAACTCCATAGGGTAGAGATAAATGAAAAACTCCATAGGAGATGAATGAAAAACTCCATAGGAGATGAATGAAAAACTCCATAGGAGATGAATGAAAAACTCC